CATCTGCTACTGCTAAAAGGTGAAAACCGTTTCACTCCCGCCGTCCTAAATTCGAGGTCCTCCGAGAATATTTCATTCCAAGGCAGGACCTTTACCCTTTTTGTCGCGCTCGTAGGCTCTATGTCGGGAGCTGTCTCTAGAAGTTCTGTTCTTGTAAACCAGCGGTCGTCTTCCGGTTCCTGATAAGCAAACCGGAACTTAATACTGTTTTTGGGGACGACCTCTACCTCCTGTTCTGAACACATCCTCATCTACAATGTCGTCAATGTCATAACTTCCATCCATATCCGGGGGAATCATGGATCTTCTTGAAGGGAACTGTTGACTTGTGACACACGGCAACAACTTTGAAGCATGGAACACAGGGTATGTGTGGAGGTGTGTTGGGATCTCTATAGTGTAGGACGGTCCATCCTCTCCGCCCTTGACTTCTAGAACCGGCCACGGTCCTCTATATGCAGGCAGTAACTTCTGCGAGATGTTTTCTTCAGGTGCAAACTCTTTTGCCTTGACCCAGACTAAGTCGCCTACTTGAAACTGTGATGGGCGACGGTGCTTATTAGCCTGTTCTATCATCCTATGCTGGGCCTTCCTGCGGTTCTCAACAACAGTTGCTAATTCTTTCCCGTGCTGTATCGCAAACTCCCTGGTACCGGGCGGTATCTGTGAATCTGATCCCGGTTCAGTCCTTCGAACGGTCTACGTGGTCTAAAGGACTTGTGCAGCTCATTGGGAGTGCGGCAGGTGGATAGATGCACGCTGTTGTTGTATGCACTAGCTACTTTATGCAACATCTCATCCCAGTTGATCTGATCTGGTCTAATGTACATGCGCAGAACTTGCTGTAGGATCTTGTTCATCTGTTCTGTCTGATCGTTGGTCTCTGGATGGCGGCCAAATGACATTAACAATTTTGATCCGTAAACTCTCATGAGTTCCTGCCAGTTCTGGCTGGTGAAACGACTATCTCTATCACTTACTATCGATAATGGGACTCTGTTCTCACTAACCCAATGATCGAAAAACTTCTGAATAACTAATTATGTGCGTGCCTCTGCAGGCAAGGGAACAAAAACAGCATACTTGCTAAAACGGTCAACTATGACCATGACTTGGCTTTTGCCATGTCTACTTTTGACTTGGGTGTCCATGAAGTCCATGGACACTGAGTCTCCCGGCTGATCAGGAATAGGCAAAGGTCTGAGAAGACCTAGAGGGGCGCGCGTAGTAGTCTTATTCCTCTGGCACACTTTGCAACTGCTAACATACTCTATGCAGTCATTCTTCATCCCTGGCCAAGTGTACGCGAGCATCAGATTAGCTAGTGTCTTTTGCCAACCGAAATGCCCCTCGGTATCGTGACATTCCCCTAGGATCAAACTACAGATCTCTTCGCTGTTGGGAACGCACAAGCGGTCAAATACGTTAGTCTTCTCAAACAGCAACCCGTCTGTGGTGCGGTAATCTGGCTCAGTCTCTGGGGCCTCTCTAACTCTCTTTAGGAGGTCGCTATAGATAGGGTCCTGCGCATACGCTTGCTTCACTTTCTCCTTCAGGTCTCTCCCTATATCCAAATAGTGTATTATAGCTCCAAAGTAGTCTAATCTTCTACTTAGAGCATCCGCAACTACGATGTACTTGCCCTTCACTGGCTTAAGCTCAAAGTCATATTGGTCTATCTCTGCGGCCCACCTAGTCAACTTAGGTGTAATCTTGGCCCGAGTCTTTAACCACCTAAGGGTCTCGTGGTCAGAATACACTTTGAAGTGCCTCCCAAGCAGATAATGCTTCCAGTGCTCTAGAGCCTGCCTGAGAGCGTAGAGTTCTCTTTCGTACGTGGAGGTAGCGACCTTCTCAGAGGGCATCCTCCCTGACATGAACTCTACGGGTCTATAGCCATTGTCGTCGTCTTGCTGTAACACGGCCCCTATCCCATACTGACTTGCGTTGGTGGTGACGACAAATGGCAAGGACGGATCTGGTACTTTGAGGACAAGGTACTCTATTAACGCGCGCTTCAGTTTCTTTAGCGCAGACGTACAATCTTTGTCCCATTGCCAGATTGCCTCTTTCTTAAGCAACCTGCGCAGGGGAGCGGCGATAGTAGAAAAGTTCCTCACAAACTTTCTATAGTAGTTGGCTAGGCCTAGGAACGATCGCAACTCTGTCAATGTGCGGGGCCTCGGCCAGTCTCTAATCGCCACTATCTTACTGTCCTCGGGCTTGATGCCATCTCCGTCCAACACGTGGTCCAAGTATAAGACTTGTGTCTTGGCCCACTCGCACTTCTTTGCGTTGATCTTCAAGTTAGCCTCTCGTAGCTTCTCCAAGACCTGTCTCAGATGACCCTGGTGCTCCTGGAGGGTCCTACTGAAAACTAATATATCATCTAAATAGACTACTACAAACTTGTATAACCATGGTCTAAACAGGTCATTCATACAATGCTGAAACGTCGCTGGCGCGTTAGACAGTCCAAAGGGCATCACTATAAACTCATAGTGCCCATATCTAGTCCGGAACGCAGTTTTATACTGGTCATCAGGATGAACCTCTATCTGATGGTATCCGGACTTCAAGTCTATCTTGGAGAAGTACTTGCAACCCTGCACCCGATCTAAGAGATCGTCTATCTTAGGCAGCGGCTCAACATTCTTCACTGTGATCGCATTCAAACCCCTATAGTCTATACACATACGAAGCTCTCCTTCTTTTTTGGGGACGAACAAAACTGGTGCTCCAAAAGGAGACGAACTGGGCCTAATCCAACCTTTCTCAAGGAGCTCGTCTAACTGCTTGCGAAACTCTTCCAACTCTCTAGGGGACATCTTGTAAACTGCACCCTTAGGAGTTCTACTACCAGGCTCTATCTCTATCCTGTGCTGGATGGGTCGCGACACAACTCCTGTCGGCGACTCAGTCAAATCTTTGAACTCTTCCAGCAGTTTGGCAATCGTTGGATCTGTGGAACTATCCTTTTCCTTGGCCTCAGTGACAGGTCTAACATAAACTACAAAGACCTGGTCCTCTAACTGCTCCTTTTTCACTAGTCGCGCGAATGCGGGAGCACTGAGACAACAATGTGCCAAGGTGTTGTCTACACCTGACACATGAAACGGGCGGGCAGTCTTAACCTCGCCTGACGGGCTAGGGAGCCTACACTTATGCTCTCTCAAGTAAATTGTGGCCCCTGCTGCCTCTCCCCAATCCATTCCTAATACTACATCAAAAGGAAGGTCATCTTGTTCGAGGAGAGTCAGGGAATGGAAAACTTTCTCCACCTTCCCGTCCTTCTCTAGGCGAAAATACGCCTGGACTCCCTCTACATAGTCCTCAACACGCATTGTGCAGTTGTCTGCGAGGACACTGACTATGGGGCTAACTTCTGGACTTTTAGTCCTAGCCTCAGCTTCTTCAGCGCCCTACGGCTAATATAACTGCGGGTGGCCCCTGAATCTATATGGGCCCCTACTCTACTTCTAAACACCTCTACGTCTACTAAGATCAGTTGTCCCTTACTCTCCTTCTTCATTTTGGCCCAGGCTGGCATCCTCTCCTTTAGCTCTTCTGCCACACCTGTGAGGGACGTGCCTAGAGAGACGCTAACAGAAGCGCTCTCTGGACAGCTAGCTAGGCACGGGCCTGCAACCTCTGCCATAGGCTCATGTGGGTTGGGAGTGTCCTGTTCGCGCGCGCTCACTTCTCCACATGGCCTTGAAGTAGGGGCAGTTGCGACCCCTACTGGCGGCTGCCTTTTGACTGTTGAGCAGCCCATCGGGCCTGTCTATACTTGGGACAATATTTAATGACATGGGTCGGGTCACCACAGAATACACAGTGACCCTGGCCCACGCGCTCTTGCCATATGCGCTGGTCCAAGCCCAAATCTTCCCAGGGCCTGCCCTGTGGCAAGCCTGGGTGCCATCCTCCTTGAGGTGCCCTTCCACCTCGTCGCTGTGGGGACCGATTGGAACCTTGGCGATTTGGCGGGGAACCTTGACCCCTACCTCCCACTTGGCGGTTTCTCTGTCCGCCAACCCCCTGTGCGCCCGGTCCTCGGCCTCCCATGGCCTGGCCCCTTTGGCCCTGGCCTCCTCCCCTAATTGGCGGCCTCCCTCCAGCCGCGACAGCAGCATAGGACCTCCCCTGTCCCACGCTACTGTCCTCTTCCTCTAGGCCCCACTCAATCTCACTGTATGGGACCTCATCAGTACCACCTTCCTCTGAAGTAAGGATCATGTGATCCTTGGCCCTCACCTGGACTGAGATGGTACGACCCTTCCACCTCTTTCCCTTATCTAAGTCCTTGTGCCAAAAGGTGGTAACTGGCATGGACTTTGACTCATACAGGACGACTTCTCTACTCAATGCATCATAAGTGATGTCGGCCTGTTGAGACTTGTCAAAGAAATGCCCACGGAGGGCCTCTGGCATGGCACAATAAAATAACTGAACCAACTGGGGCTCAGTGACCCCATGGTCTGGGATGGCTACCAAGTCGTCCATGGTGCCCTTGAGTGCCCTTGCACTCCTCCACTGCCGTGAGTGGATCGTTTGCAACTTATCAGAGGCGCGAACGCCTCTCGTGGGGTCTGCGAACCGCTCCTTCAGGAGCTTGAAGAATTGAGGAAGGGGGGTGACTCTTGAATATGAAACCAGGTTGTTTTCACAACTAGCTGCGCGCGCAAGGGACCTGGCAAAACTAGCCGCCTCATCCTTAAGGGCCTGGAAGGCCACGAGGACTTGTTCCTCTGACAGGATGTGTTGTAGATATATGTAACTATTGACATTGGCCTCCCAGTTGTCAAAGTTGTCTTCCTTCTTTCCCCCGTATGCATCTGGAAACTTGAGCTTTACAGGCTCTTTACGGGGTCTGCCCTCGCCCTCTACAACAGCTATTGCTTTGGCACCCTCAATGGCACCCTCAATGGTCCCTCAATTGCCTGACTTCGCCCCCAATGTGGGTGACGATCTCACGTGCAAAATCCCTGAATCCCGACCGCATGGCACTCAGGGCTACCTCTTGGCTCCAACTCGCTTGGCGCTCCTCCATCCATGCGGTGCTCAGCACCTCTAGGTAGCCCAACACCTTATCCCACTTGGCCTTGTCATCTGGCTGGGCCGACACTTCCTTCCTACACTCCTGCAGCTTTGCCACCTCTGCGGTCAGTTTGTTCACTTCCTCCCTCCTCCTCTTCTTCTCCCTCTTCATCCTCAGTTTCCATGCCAACTTCTGCTCCTCCTCCCTTTCTCGCCGTTCCATAGGATCCGCCATTGCTGCTAGCTCACTGGCTAGCGCATCCCTCTCATCCTGAGTCACATCTATATCCATCTTCGTGCCACTACTCCCTTCTCTACTTTCAATCCTCATTCTCTTTTTTTCTTCTTCTGCTGCTACTTTTGCTTCAGCAGCCTTTCTTCTTTCGTCCTCCTCCTGTTGCACCCTCTTCATCTCCTCCTCTAACTTTTTCATCTTTGCCGCCTGTTCTTCTGCGATCGCCTTTAACTTCTTCTGCTTCAAGAGCTCCTTCCTCTCCTTGTTCTCTTTCACTAAGGCGGCCATCTTTTCTTGCTGCTCCTGGGTGTAGGGGCTAGTGTCTATCCCACTACAGGTCTCAACCATGGTGATAGGTGCACAATCAAAACGATTCCACTCCTCACCACTTAGACTCTAACCCCTGACTGACAAACCTATTGACTCAATCTAAGGACTTACAGAATCCTGACAGGGATCCTGTCAACTATGGTCTCTAGCCTAGACCTACACTATGGCTGTCACTACTGAACCAGTGGCTGATCAGGAGGCATTTAAGGAGATCCCCGAACTCCTCAGGAATTATTTAACGTCGCAGACAGGACGACGCGATCAGCAGGTCTCTCAAGACTTAGACGGTCTGTTGTACAGCCCACAGCTCCGTCCAACCCTCTCGGTCAACCCTCCGGTCCGCTATGGCTGCCGGCTCTTTTTCCTCGCCAGTCCTCTTCTCCCTTTCACCTTCCTCACCTCCTTTCACCCCGGCTGTCTTCTTCTTCTCTTCCTT